ATATGAATCGCTAAAATCAGTCGATCTCGATCGTTTCCATTTGTAAATACACAATAGTCTGCACTGGACGTGAGACCATGTTTCTTCAGTACTGTTGTAAAACGATGATGCCAACATCTTGATGCCTGCTTTAGACCATATAAACTACGATTCAGTTTGCAATCACGGTTCGTTCCATCCTCGTATCCCGTTGGTTGCTGGCATATAGATGACTTCGTCGAGTTCTCCATGAAGAAAAGCTGTCTTAACGTCAAACTGCTATAAATACATTTTGTTCGAATCTGTAATAGATAATATAGTTCTTATTGAATCGAATCTAGCTACAGGACTATACGTTTCATGATAGTCAATTCCAGCAATTTGTTTAAAACCTCTAGGAACGAGTCTTGAATCGTTGTATGTTTCTATCGGTATTTTTTTTTCAGTTTATAAGTCCATCGATTATCTATGATTTGATGGTCTGATTTACTAATGTCCATGTTTGAGTTTTTCTCAAAGAATCAATTTCGTCATCCATGGCATTTGATTGCGTTGTTACATGTGATCATAGTGTTTATAGTGTTCTGTGATCACAATATTTCCATACGTGAGTCTGTCTGGTCGGCGTATTTTATTTCTGTCTTTCAAACGTCGGTCTTATTCGTATTGATTTTTGTTTTCTGGATCTTTGATTTTTCATCTGAATTTACTTTTCGTTGTTTTCCGACTGAATAATGGTTTTTGATTCGACACTTATTGTGTCATCTTTCTGATGTTCAAAGATTATGCTATTTGACTCTGATACCCATTTTTCATTTGAATTAATTTCGTAAAGCTGATCTGTGAATCTTACATCCCTACATATTTTAACTTGTCCTCTTTCATGAAGCCAGATCCGGAATCCTTCTGTATTTTCATCATATTCGACGAAAATGCCTTTTTTTGACATCCCATTTTCGTCTCTTCTTTTTAGGAATATGAAAGTATACTTCTTCTCCGAAGGTTCTCAGACCTGAAATATTCGGTCTCTTCTTGAGCCAGTTCAATAGGTGTTACTCCTTTCTCGCCACTGGTTCCGGTTTTATTTAAAGTGTAAACAGTGTAATTAACTGCTTCAGTTCATATTTTGATTGGCAATTTTCCTGCATGTAACGACGTTCTCGCTAAGTCAACTACAGTACTGTTTTCTCGTTCAGCGCAACCATTCTGTTCCGGAGTAAATGGTACTGTTTTCTGATGCGTAATGCGATATTGTTATGTGTTAGTTCCTCAATTTCTTTATTGATGAACTCAAGATCATTATCTGATCTGAAGATCTTGATTCCTTTTTCTAAATGCTTATCAGTCTTTTTGAAAAAATCCTCTAGACATTGTGATGTCTCTGATTTATTTTTGATAAAATATAAACTTCTCCACTGACTGTAGTCATCTTTCAACATTAAAAAATATCAAGCGAATTTTCTTGCATTCGACATGAAAGATCTGCATGGATGAGTTTTCCAATGCGTTCTGGTTTTGTATCGCTTTTTGGGAATGGTAGTCTGTGCAGTTTTTCTAAAATGCAATTTTCGCAAGAAAATTTCTGATCCTTAAAAATGATATTCTCGGATTTTAGAATTTTCTTCACCTGATCCACATTCTGATGAGATTCGTTTATGCCAGGAGAAAAGAGAACTGCGCACTGCTACATTTGTCTGATGCTCTGTAATTATTTTAAATTTCATTACCAATAACTTACCTTTTCTTTCTCCTACTGCAACAATATTTCCATTCTTCATGAATGTGCATATTTTATCATGGGAGTATTGTCGTAATCCCTTGTCAAGAGCTGCACCCGCCGAAAAAAGATTGAAATCTAGTTTTGGTATGTGAAAAAAATTACTGAGGTACTTTCGCACTCACTCTTTTTCATTAAAAACAAGAATGTCGATATCTCCTGATCCAATTGCTTGAATATACTTTCCATCGCCTATCTTAATATTTTCTAAATTTCTCTGTGTCAAGTTTTTTATACGACGAGAACCATTCGCGACGATTTGACATGTGCTCAGTCGCACCTGAATCCAT